CCCCCCCCATTACCTCTTATTGTTTCTACCTGTTCGATGGAATCCATCTAGGTTATATTAAGCTGCGGCGTAGGCCAGCATTTCGGTTGGCTTTTCTGAAAATCCGTGACACGGGGCGATTTCTCTTTCCTTTTGTATGGCCCTCAGCCGTGTGGTAGCATTATGGGTATGATTTTTGCATCCCCTAATTTTGACGCTTGAGCTCTGCCGGGGGCTGTTTGGGTATGATCGCGGCTTCCCTCTTGATAAGGGGGAGGCTGTGGGGCTGATTTGTCTCTGGTGAGTCAATCTTGTGGCCGCCGCGCACTTCCACCCAATGCACGACCTCTTTCTAGTGCCGCATTAAAACACCCCGCGACGTGCGCAGGGGCTCCTCATCTCTTGCTAATAAGATATGCCAATAGTATTCACCTCGCCGCTATGGTTGTTATCGAATCCACTCTGGGCACTTCCACGCCGCGCCGATGCGCCGCAGGGGTTGCTTTATATTAGTGAAACATCCAAGTGCATGTTGGGGTGCCCGTTTTGGAGGAGGAGGTCAGGAGGGGGTACAACATTTGCCATTTCACACGGGGAAAATGAATCTTCCGGTATCTCCATTCCCCAATTTTTGTGCGAGTTTTAGAATCTTTCGCCACATGTTCACCGTAGACGAACCCTGCGTTGCCCTCAGTAATACCAGTCTGCGATTTATCAAGGAAGTCACTAGATTGCCTTGCTTCTAGTTTGTGTAAGCATATTTCCCTTTCTTGCACCTTTATCTAATATAAGGTGCTCGATGTTTTTACTCAAAGCCCCGTCAGCTAATTTGTGTAGCGTTCGATTCACTTTCTACCACTGAAAATAGGGTTTACATTTTCTTTTCCCTGATCGTGCCCCCATACAAGTCTTGACTGCAGTCAATGTATTCATAGGTGCTGTCACATGTGCTATGGTTACTGGTGCTTACAAATTATTCTTCTCTAATGTTGTCAGTCTGAGTGAAGTTTTTAAGTTGTTTTTTTCAGTTATATTTTTAAATCATTACTTTTCTTTTTTTAATTTTAAGTGACACACCAACATGGGCAGACACGAGGAGGCCAATTTTGGCAACGTCCAAAAAAATTCCCCTGATATGGGGAGATTAGAGGTGGGTCCGAATCAGGGGAAGGATAATACTGAGGACACATCCGATGAGCCATCTTCAATTTTAAGTACCGTTATTGCACTTCTAACTACCCTTGTTCCTTACGGTGGCATGATTTCTACCATTTTCAGCGTTGCCGCGACGTCAGTTGGGGCTGGTATCATGGGCTTACCCGCAGCTTTCAGCAGTACTGGGATCATCATGGCTATCGTCTATCTCATTCTTATCACGGCGGAAACTATCTACTCCATGCGGTTATTGGCGCAGGCAGCTGACAAAACTAAGTTGCGTTCGTATGAAGAGATGTCCGCACTTTTTCATCCTAAGGCCTATATTGTAGTGGGTATTCTACGTGTACTGAACACAATGAGTGGAACCATTGCCTTTGTCGCTACCGTTGGGGACTTGTTGAAACCTATACTCAAATCTATTGACGCAACACCCTCATTCCTACGTGGAACGGTTGGACTCAAGTTATTACATGTCGGATTCTGGTTTGTCTTTATGTTCCCTTTCTCATTTCCTCGGAAGTTCAGCTCCCTCCGATATGCATCAATTTTCGGGATGAGCTTCATGTTTTACCTGATTGTTGTTGTTATAGTGCACTATTTCATGTACGGAATCAAAGCCGATCCGCCCGCACGTACTAAATTGATAAATACAGGAAATACCGCACTCAACGGTATGGGTATTTTTATATTTGGCTACATGTGCCAAATCAATTGCCTGGAAATCTATTTCGAAATGACCAAGCGCAGCGTGAAACGATTCACCTTGTGCATATCTATCAGCCTTATCTTCTGTGGTTTGTTGTATCTTGCGACCGGCTTATTTGGGTACATGGATTTCGGTGAAATAACAGGGTCGATTCTCCTTGAATACAACCCTATTAAAGAGCCACAGATTTTCGTCTGTTACATTGGTATCTTTTTCAAGGTATGTGTTTCGTTTGGGCTTATCAACAACACCTGTGTGTGCGGACTATTTCCGTTGCTTGGTTTGGACCCACAGACGGTTTCCTCCAAAAAGTATATCATGGGTTCTGTAGGATTGGCTTTCGTTGCTCTTATACTTGCTGTTTCCGTTCCTAACATTACCATGGTATTTGGATTGAGTGGAGGTGTATGTGGAGGCACTATTGGGTTTATTTTCCCCGCGCTGTTCATAATGTATTCTGGGAATTGGAATCTGAGATCCGTTGGAATAATCAACTTTGTGAGTACCTACCTTGTGCTCATCGGAGGTGTTGTCGCAATTGTATTTTCAACAGTGTCCGTCGTTCATTCGATGATCAGTTAATATTAAATCGTGTTCCTTAAGGAACATCTCTATCTATCCATATATATATAAATAGATAGAAATAAATAATAACATGCGATAATTAATAAATAAATGGAAATTTTTGTATCTTTTTTGTATCTTTTTTTTGTATCATTTTTTAATATCATTTTTTTTTCTTTTTCTTATGGTGAGTTTTCCACTTGTTTAACGTTCTAACTTTCGATTTATTACCTTTGTATTAATGGCAAGTTTTTACTATCATGTTGTATTCAATTACTTTTTACTAAGATTCTGTTGCAGTATATAATTTGAGCTGATGCTACGATAAATTATTTAAATTCTATTTCCGTTTACAGAAATCGACCGAAATACAGC